TCCTCTCAGATTAGGAAGACGTTTCCGGATGTGTTTAGGTGGGAGAGAAGTTTATGGCAGTCGGTTTGTGTGGCTGTTCTTTGTAGTCTTTGTAAGAAATAGGATCAGTCAGCTGAAGATCCTTTTAGAACGATGGAAACGGCTCAGCCAATCAGGGAAAAAGCTTAGCGAGAATGCGCTAATTAGTATGTTGTGCTTGGAGATGATCCAAGTGGATTTCGCTTTTCTTACTAATGTGTATGGATAGTATTTTTCAAGGGAATTAAGAAGTCTGTTACTGATTGAGAAATCACTGCCAGCACTTTCCTCTTGGTCCTTGTCCTCGTTCTTGCCAGAAGCCTTACCGGGCCAGATGTATTTCTGTAGAGTTTCGTCGGATTTCTGCTCATCATCGGATGGTGCTGACAAAAAGGAATGTGGTGTCGCACAAGCACTGTCAGGAGGCAAGCGGTTCAATTGCACTGGAGTCGAAGGTGGAACAATATATTCCTCTTTGTCATATCCGTCCAAGAACTTATCGCCTTCCATTGTACGGCCTACCATGTACCGGATCGGCGCGCGACTGAAAACTTAAGATGAGGAATGGATACCGTTGGTGTAGCAACTTTCTTGACTTTTTTTTTGATTTTGTTGGAATCCTCTCGATTCCGAATGGTGTGCTTGCATGCCCAAAGAGCGGTGGAAGGAGAAGGGAGCATGACTGCTTCAATGGAGTAAAATGAATGAAATGAGGAAGTGAACGACTGTTTCAAGGACAGCAGCATTACAAGATGCCATTGGTTACCTATGTAAAAACCTTCAAGAGTATGCCTTGAAAGCCTCAATAGCACAGAGCCACTGAGTCCAGCCTCCAGGCGGACTGTACAAATCAGAAAGGGCAACTCTTTGGCAGGTTCTAGTCGGTGTAGAACATCATCGAATTCCGTCAGATCGAATCCGTCTTTGCTTCCAAACGAAATTCTTGAATAGTTGCGCATTCATTTGACGGTGCGGAGAAACACTAGGAGGGACTGACCTGTCGGTGGATGAGTAAATGTTTCAATGAACATCTCGGCTGCGCACAGTGCTTTTTATGCGTTTTTGCTTATATGCAAATGCAAAAACGCATATTGTGATGAACTTTGTGTATGTATTCTGTCTGGGCATTTAAACTCGGCAACCAAGCAGGTTTCGATGTCAAAATTTTGAAAGTGAATTTCCCGGCTAAGTGCCATCCCAAGACCGCGGTACCAATCCTCATGCAAGTCTGGGCCACGGTACGAGAGGGTGAAAGTTT